ACCAGCTAGCATATTTGCAAAATGTCACCATTACTGAAGAGGCCTTGTTTAGGCAATCTTCCTATGTCCTGTTGAATGTGATAGGAGCCTCTGCCCTTTGTACACAATGTGGTATATAGTCTTATAGCAAGATCATCCTACAATACAAACATCTACCAAGCAACACATTATTACTAACACATGGTATGCTCATCTGGCATTCAATGAACACGATTTAACTACCTATGTGAAATAACATGTTGCTTAAAGTATAAAATTCAGTACATGGCAACCTGTATTCACTTCATCAGTTACATACAGTTTACTCCAAATCAGCATTGTGTAATCTAAGAACTTTATAACAGATGCATTAAAACCCAAAGAAACTGAGATTCCTTACAACTGTATTAAACTTTTTAAAGAAACTAATGCTCAAATAAATGGTTCCATCTAAGTACAACACTATGGATTAGTATACAATGGACAGGGCAAGGTAGCCATGGTAGCATGATTTTTATTTTTATTTTTTTGTTAATAAGTATTAAAATAAATAAATAATTAAATAAATAAAAATAAGAAAAAATAAATAAAAATAAACAAAAAAATATATAAATAATTAAAAAATGTATAAATAGATGTATAAATAATAATTAGATTAAATAATAATTAGATTAAAAAATAAATTAAAAAATAATAAATAAATAAATAAAATAATAAAATAAAAAATAAATCAAAATAAATAAATCAAAATAAAAAAACAAACACATATGTAATGAATAAATAAATAAAAGAGAGTAACTAGCTTAATAATTATACGTCATTCATTCACACATTCACACCAAAGCATACATACCCAATTACTGAATAGATCATATTTCTGCATTAATTAAGTTTCGATACATTGCCCATTTCGTTTCAAAGTCATTAAGCATAGCTTTTTTACAATGTCTAGCTTTTTCTATTAAATAATAGTATCCTAATTCTTTCTTCAAATGGGAGAGGGTTGGTGATTTCTTTTGCAGCTTGCATCTACATATCTGATACTTGGCACGTAGCAAATGAGATGAAAAATATCATCAGTTTGGAAAGTGGAGGAACAACCAAAAAGGATCAGATCAACCTGGAAATTAATAATACCTGTATGTGAGCAGTTTTGTTCAATCCACTGAGAAAGCATTTGCCAAAAATGTTTACTTATTCTACAGTTCCAGAAAAGGTGAAGTATAGATTCAGGCTAACTCCCACAGAATGTGCAAAGATTATTATCAACAATTTCATTTTAATCAAGTATGTATTTACTGGAAATATTCTATGAAGCAACCTATATTGCATCCATCATAATTTGGGATCGGGACTTGTCTTAAAGGGTTTTATAAAGATATCGCTCCAATTAATATTAATCAAAGTTTCATCTTCCCATTTTTCGATGATCTTCAATTTTTCTTCACCTTCAGTGATTTTAAAATAATAGCTCTTTGATCCTTTTGTACATCAAAAAAGATTATTCATATTTATATTTATAAGGTTATCTAACATCACATTTGAGTTTTTTTAATCCCTGTAGCTTTGAGGTACTTATTAACTGCTTTTACAATTCCATGAAATTCAGTAAAATTTATATTGTAACATTTATGACAAAACTGTACAAGCGTCATCATTCAGTAAACAATGAATATTAACAATGTCATGTTCTTGAAATGTTTTTTTTCGGTAGAGAGATTTGCCACCTATAATTATGTTTCTGTTATACAAAAGGGGTTCCCTAAGAAAATCTTCACAGGTATTTGGTTTATTTTTATAGCTATAATTAGCAGTAGCATTCAGAGTATCTTTCCAGAAAATATTCTGTATAGATTTTGAAAGCTTGTGTGGAAAGTCGCTACCAAACAGTGGTAGGTTTAAATATTGTGGAAGTGTTTCTAGCAGCAGGTGTTTCCACTTTCTATCATAGTTTTGTTGTAGTAGTTTTCTAGTCCATGTTACTTTCAGAGCATCGACATAGGCATATATGTCGATCATGCCAAGCCCACCCTCAACAATTCCCACCCTCAACAATTGGTCTACAAACTACTGTTCGTTTAATTTTGTCAGGTTTGTTATTCCAGAGAAAACCAAATAACTATTAAATACTATTTAACTCTTTTTTTAAAAAATACCAGGTGGATATGGCAGAGTTAGGAAAAGGAAATTTCATTTGGAATGAGCAGTGACTTGATAATAGCAATTTTACCTAGAGGGGTTATAGCTCTCTTCATCCTCGTTTAATAATTTCTTCAATTTCATATAGCTTACTTTCATAATGTAGCTTAATCAGACAGGAGGTCTACAACGCGAGTTTTAAACAAGGCAAAGTGCTCAGAAGTCTCAAGAAATCCATCCGCACAGACCTACCCGTCAAGCTGAAAAAATTGAGAAGTAAACTCGTCGCCAAAGGCAAAGAACTACGTAACACACACCAGGTACAGACCCGTTTACTTGAGAGGGGGAGTGTTTTGTGCTTTCTCTGGATGACCTCAGAGTCATGTAAGTCTCAGCGGGGCCATCAACCTTCTTCGTCACACCAGATATTGTATTCTTCTGCCTGTTTTAAAAAAAAGGGCAATGTATATTATTATTGAGTAAACTTTAGAGCCTCTCAATCGTGTAGCGATTCAACGAGACAACCGAGTTATTGTGTTGACGAATCAAGCCGCTTACAGCGGAGTAACAGTTAACTGTGTGTGGTTGCTATTGCTTTTATTTGCTACGGAGGATTCGCTCTTTGTTTACTCTGGTAATGCGCAGAGTTTTGAATATCGTTGAATATGGCATTTGAAATCCCACTGGCAGGATTCGACTTCCGGTTACACGGTTGCCAGCGAGATGTCATTTCTCTCCATATTGAAATGCTTTTATCTATACGGAGGACTAGCCGTTTGTGTGCTTTTGCAATACTTACAACAACTACCATGGCAACTGAAGTTCCACTGTTAAGAGTTGTGAGAGAAGTCTTATGACCTCCGGTTCCAAGATAGATACTGCCAGTTTTACCTAGTTTCTTACAATATTGATATGACAATAGCTATTGGGACATTCTTTATTTACTTTAACGATTACTATCATGAAACGCCTTCCGGATGTGTTCTGCATCTTCTTCTGTTATTTCCGTTTATTTGTAAGGTACGTATGGTGTGTGAATGGTGTGAATGTGTTCCCGCCACGTCAGTTAGACTTATTACAAATCATGAAAGCTATAGATAGCAACTTCTCTTGTGGTTCCTTCAACTGTCGAGGTCTTGGTAATTTAGCCAAAAGAAGAGATGTCTTCAACTTTCTGCGTTCCAAGAACTGTTCCCTTTACTTCATCCAAGACACACATTTTACTTGTCAAGAGGAAAAACTTATTAGATCAATGTGGGGTCATGATATTATTCTTAATTATCATTCAAGCCAGTCTAGAGGTGTGGCCTTTCTCTTGAATAACAATACTGAATATAAGATCCATCAAGTTTATAAACATGAATCCGGTAACTTTATTTTGATCGATATCACCCTCGATGGCTGCCGAATGTCTGCAGGTAATATCTATGGTACAAATTCTGACTCACCAGATTTTAAAAAAATGATCCTAACAAAATTAAAAGAATTTGGTTATGAATCCTACATACTTGGAGGTGACTTTAACCTTGTTCTCTACCAAGATAAAGACACTAATAATTACAAGAATGTTAAAAATCCAAAGGCTAGAGAACAATTATTAGAACTTATAGGAGAACTTAACCTTATAGATATATGGCGTGATAATAACCCTGAATTAAAGCAGTACACCTGGCGGCGTACAAAACCTGTAAAACAAGCTAGATGAGAATTTTTTCTTATGTCAGAAAATCTTTATAGAGATGTATCCCAAACCAAAATAGAACCAGGCTATAGGACAGACCTCTCACTTCCTAGTTTCCATTTGAATATTGAAAATACAATAAAGCGAAAGACATACTGGAAGTTCAACAACTCCTTGTTGCAGGACAAGTAATATATATCACAACATTGACATTTTGGGGTTTTGGTGATGGTTTTGTTAAATGGGTTTCTATACTGCATGAAGATACTAAATCAAATATAGTCATAAATGGTATAATGTCTCCCTGGATACCTATTCTTCGTGGCTGTAGACAAGGCGACCCTTTGTCACCTTGTATCTTCCTACTATGTGCTGAAATACTATCGGCTCTGATTAGAAAAACTTGAAAACTGTGATGAAATTAAATGAAGCATAAAGGGTGTAGTGGTAAATAACCATAGAATACTTGATCGCTCAATATGCAGATGACACAAAATATATCCTGGATGGCTCAAGGAAATCATTCGAAGGAGTCATTGACACATTAGATCTGTATGCACAAATCTCTGGACTTAATGTTAACTATGATAACTCAAAAGTGATTTAGGTAGGAAGTTGTAGAAATAGTAATGCTAAATTCAGACCAGATCTAAACCTACGTTGGAACCCAGAAAACGTTAAGATCTTGGGGATAATTTTTTCGACTGATATTAACAAGTTGAAGCCCATGTCTGGTGTCTGCCGCCGTGATATGGCTGGAATATTGCTTGAAGCGGCGCAAAACCTCACTCACTCACTCACTCACTCACTCACATGCTCAATAGTGTGAAAGTCAGTGGATGAGTATGTTTTAATTCTGCATTTACGAATATCCCATCAATGTCAAGGCATGAATAATTTTACACATGTTTGGGATCTGAGAGGATTTTTGGGTGTGACAAGCAAATAATCATTTCAACAGGAATCTGAATTTGATCAGTCCCAAGGTAGATTTTGCGGCAGATGTTAATATTGTTTCTTGATAGACGCTGGACCGAATAGCATAACCTATTTATCAGGGAGCTACATATAGTTTCGTGCTTTAGACAAGCAAACCTGAAGGTTGTTGATAGTACTTCTCAGGCCAGCGGGAAACCAGAAACTAAGTCTCAGATCCCTTCAGTTAATTTCGGCAGTCAGATACATTTTCATCTTGACAGGACTATAGTTCAGTGTGTGAGGCCAGGACAGTTGAGTGGGGTCCGATGTCTTGGTATTGAACTGATGGAGGTTGTGGCTGCCCTGTGGGATTGTAGCCGTCACATGTGGTGAACCACCACCCAGACTGGTGGATACTTGCACAGTTGCCACCGCTGTCGTTGTCGTTGTCGATATCGTAAGTCGAAAATCGAACTCCCATAGACGCAGAGAGGCCATCAATTGCTTCATTGATCCTGGGCGGTACAGCGGACGAAAAGGTGAAGTTATAACCATGCTGCTCACTGCTAACCTGAAAGTAAACATTCGCCTGTTTACGATGGTCTGCTCTTTTACAGTAAATAAGATTTAAAAATAAGGACTGCATGGTGAATTTCAACATGAACTGTGTCAAACGTTTAATGCATTATATGATCAAGCAACGGCGATGGATGGCATGGCGCCTTGGGCATTTGTTCAGGTTATCTGTAACCTGTATTATAACAATGTATAGGCCTTCATGATTTTCTCTGCATTAATGCATGAGTTCAAAAATGATGTTGTATCTGGACTATTTCAGCATTATCAAAATATATATTCGCTGTGTTTTCGCAATTGGGGTGGTAATAGGTAATGACTGTAATTATTTTGGAGACTGAGTTCTTAGATATGTTCTTACGGATTTCAAAACCTGCAAATCTGAGGCGTATCACCAAATGTGTATCTGTTTAGAATCCTGCTTTGACTACCTTAAAATCAAGATAGTCATGGTTCCTCCACACGTTGGTCCTATTTTCTTGAAACAGTATTTGTACCCTCAGTTTGTGGGGACGGTTGTTAGTCACGTAGTGCATCACATCCAGACCTGACCAATAGTTTTCTGAAACACATACATGAAATATTTCCCTTGTCTAAGTCTGTTATTGGAGAATAATAGATATTAGTGAAGAGTATACCTATAATACCTATCGCTTTCACCACTTGGCTACCCCACCGCCACTTTCACCATCTAAAACCCGTGAAGGTCCGGGTTAGAATATTGATCTTCAGTGACCCATGCTTGTCGTTAGAGGCGACTACCGGGATCGGGTGGTCAGGCTCGCTGACTTGTTTCACACATGTCATCGGTTCCCAATTGCGTAGATCGATGCTCATGCTGTTGATCACTGGATTGTCTGGTCCAGCCTCGATTATTTACAGACCGCCGCCATATAGCTGGACTATTGCTGAGTGCGGCGTAAAACTAAACTCACTCACCATCTAAAATACAAACCTGTGAACGTCATATAGTATGCATATTTCTCTCCCCATGTGTTATAACTATAAAGAAGCATTTAACAGCAAAACAAGCCTTGTCTTTCAGTATCCTATATCGGTTACATCTAGCAAGGATCCCTTTGTATTTGGAAATATGTTTAATCTATCATACCCACAACACAATCTCGTCATTACAATTCGCGCATTTATAACATACCTCGTAAGCCGAAGTTTCCAAATCCATTTTTGTAGTCTTCCCACGTTCGTGAAAAGTTGACCTGGATAGCCCCACGACGTCGTGCGCAGAGAAATGCCCATCCAGTTGTCCATTTATCCATCTTACAAACAACCTTAAAGACCTGAGGAGCATTGTGGGGATGGATGTGAAACACATCCGACTCTCTAAAGTCTCTGTAATGATCCGTCAAGAAACCATCAGTGCAATCTGCATTGAAGGAAAAGGAAAGTTTAAATTATTATAACCATTCATAATAAACATACTCATCATTCGAACTACAAACAAACTTGATGAAAAAATGATGTTTACACAGTCTGTGCGTAATTTTATCCAAGATTAAACCAGGATCTTTCCTGAACATGCTGTAGGCGTCTTCAATCGTCAACCTTTTTCGGCATTCCACCTTACATACTTTAGGCAAATAGGCATCAATATAATAGATATAGAGCTGACAATATTAGCGGTTACGAGAAAACAGTTATTCTAACAAATTAGTAACAAATAAAATACGTTCAGTCTGGTGAGACTTAAATTGTTTTGTTTTATTCAAATATGACGTTCCAAAAGTATCATTCAAAATTGACAAAAATACCTTACCCGTTAACACCAGGTGGCACAAATATGGTACAAAATAAAAAGGTATCATGCAAAAGGACTGATACAATACCTTGCATTAGCCGTTCACACCATGCACCAATATAGCCACCGTAGCATCTGCAGCCATAGGTGTCATTCAGAAAGACTCCGCGGTAATGACATGTTGAATGGTACCCCTGGTGTAACAATATCATTTACAAGCAAAATGAAAATATATCAAACTTGTAAACTCTTGCAGTCAACTATTGGTTACTCAAATCTAGTAAATTCACTAATTTGATCCAATAATTTGCCATGCTATGTTTTCTAATGAACAATTTACAGAAAAAGACAATAATACTACATGTAAATACACAGTTTACGATTGTGTAAGAAATTTTAATATTGTAATAGTAATATCATCGCATTTAATCCCAAATCTAATCTTGTCACGAGTATTCGAATGAATCTTGATGTACTCACATTGAAATGTCGGTACTGGTTGTCGCATCCTGTACTCAACAGTCTCCTTCCACTATTGTGATAACATGTGACAGTGTTCCCGTCACGTTTAATGCTGATGGACTTACATCTGTCATCCCTTGCGCACATGATTCCACATAGCGGAACGCTGATACGGGTGACTGTGTGGTATGTCTCGGGTGTCTGTGTCGGGTCATAACAAGATTCAATACGGGTGAATTTCATGTGAGCATCACATTTCGGTATAATTCCAAATAATACAACAATGCAAACATGAAGTATTCTAGTCATTGTGGGTGATCTACGCTGCTTATGGTACCTTGTGCAGCGCGCTCACAAATGAGGATCCAAATAACTGGAAACTAGGGCTAATTCGGCTGGTATTAGCCACGTGACTGTCATAACATTTACCGAACAACGTGGCATCTGTGCAAGGGAGGGATCAAAGTGCCAAGGTGATTTGCGTATATGATGCGTATAAGATCACAATTATTCAGGTTATTATTGACGTTGTGAGTGGATTGTCAATGTTTGTCATGACTGATGCCCAGCTCAGCGTCCAGAATTTACAGCAAATTAAACACATTTCCTGTTCGTTTTATTTATAACCAATATTTTAACTAAATTACCACGCAAAGTTTATGAATCCTAATCAGGTTGCCTGGTACAGAGCGATGAACATGTTGCATCAAGAATGTTTTAGAAATGCAGTACAATCATATGTGATCATTTTCTCTAGTTTATGATCTTACTTCGTCATGATATGTGCTGAGTGGGTTTAAACTTGTGTTTTACGTAAACACGTTCGTAGATTCTTCATTCGAGTGACACGACCCAAACATATTACACTGTTCTTCGTAGCTTTCAAACAGGTCAGTATATCACCAGTACTCGAATCGAGTGTGTGAGTTCAGTTTTACGTCGCTTTTAACAATATTCCAGTGGGTGACACCAGAAATGGGCTTCACACATTGTACCCATGTGGGGAATCGAACCCGGGTCTTAGGCGTGACGAGCGATCGCCTTCACCGCTTGCCTGCCCCACCGTCACTTACGCCATCTAAAATACAAACTTGTGATATATACAAACTTGTCATCTAGCATGCAGACTTCACTCCTCATATGTTATGACCATAAAGAAGCTTTTAACAGCAAACAAGCCATGCGTTTCAGTATCCTATATCGGTTACATATTGCAAGGATCCTCTTGTATTTAGAGATATGTTTAATCTGTTTTACCCGTAGCAAAGGTATTTCTGTCATTTCACTTCATTTAATGTTTATCTCAGTGAAGTGATTTCACTTGCGGAAATAAATGGTCTTTTTGAATGGTTTCGGGTTGCATGTTAATACAGAATGTGTCTTTTGTAATTGCCCATTGAAGATATCAATGTTCAACAAACATACATATGTTTTACACATTAGGTACGAACATGACATGCATATGTTCTATGGTCGACGTCGGTTGTACTGGGCAACTGTGAACATCATCTTCTCTGCTCCCAGAATGATAATGCACTCCATGGACTCGTTTAATGTTCATGAAACACTAAATTGATTAATAATTTGTTCCTTAAACATCAGAAGTTCATCTTAATTTCATCTTTTGTACTTTTTTCGTTTTTACGCCTTGGGCTTAAATTCTGTAATATTTTTTTCTCGCAAAATGCACAAAATCCGTTATTTAAGCCCTGGGCTTAAATATGTGCAGTACCTGTGAGCTTTTTTTTATCACCTACTGACAGCTGAATGTGGAACCCGATGAGACGTCTCATAAACAACGCTGAATATAATTATCTTATAAAGTATACAGCACAAGACTATATTCTGAGTCTGAGCTCCTTGAGATTCAGGTTGATTTTACATATGCTACTACTCATTTTTAATCGAACCCATACTGTCAGAGTAGGACACCTGATCGTTACCATGAAAAATCTGACAACTGATAGCATCTGGATCACGACCGAAAGCTGAGAATACCTTGAACCATTTAGAAAGTGGTCAAATGTAACATAATCTGTACTGTCCAGAGAAGGTGCAATCCCAAATATAATAGTATGCTACGTCGGGCATTTCTGAAACAGCCTACTTTCTTTGTAGACAACGTTTGATGTCTCCATATGATTGGACTTGTAGATGATAATTGACAGAAAAGGGCAGTACTTGCTCCAAATTTGTCTTAAGTGTGTTTGGGTTTGTTGAATTGTTTGTTTGCGTGTTTGTTTGTTTGTTTGTTTGTTTAATGCCGCGCCTAGTAATATTCCAGCTATATGGCGGCGGTCTTTTGACGGACGTACGCACCGTGGAAACAACATTTGTGGATGCTAGCATGTATCTCGAACTCTCGTAAAATCTAGGCCAGTAATATACGTAACTTCTAGTGTTGAAGCAACCTTTAACCAGTATTGTAGTCTAATGATTAGACTGAACAAGAGGGATAGTTCTATGGATATACAAAATTAATTCTTTCTTGATCCATGCACCATCTCCTGGTGATATGCCCCGTCTCCACACGAGACAAGGGACAGCGGTAACGTGCAGAAGATAGCAACCTTTATCATATATTACTTGAAACGAATTCCATCTGTATCATAAACTGTAAATATGTATGTGGGTAATGAATTGCTTGGTTGTTGTTTTTTAATCCGGCTGATAGCCCTGTTTAGAATTATAAATAAATGTCATACCCCGTGTTTTGAATTGTGAATGATACTGAATTTTAAAATGTGTACATAATAACTGTTTTCGTGTGTGACTGTGTTTTTAACGGACTTATGCATGTGTGTGAACTTGGTGCTATATGGCTGAAAAACATGTATGGCTGTTGTGGCATTAAATAGTAACACTCTCACTGTATATTGAATATCTATCTATATATTTATCTAAGTGTTCTGTCTGAAGATATACTGTTTTAAGTAATCTGTTACGCAATGGAGTGTTAATCATGTGCCTGTCATCTCAGAATGTTGTGACTCTGGGGCCACCTGGTCGACGTGCATATTCCATAGACCCATTGGCTTGAAATCTCTGCCACAGTCTATCAATAGCACTCTGAGTCAAATTAAAGAGGACATCAATCTGCCGCTGAGTTTGACCAGGTTCCAAAAGGCCTTTAGCCTGACCCCTTTCAGCAAGTGTCAAAAGCGTCTCATTTTAAGCTGCGATTTCAGACAGGTACGTGAATAGTGAACGACAGTGAACAAGCATCAATGCATGTGTATTGTCCTCCACTTTCCATGGATAGAGCAGCTTGCACGTGCAAATCATTGACATTAAGTGGCAGGTGGATTTCCAAATCAACAAATTTGTAACAGAATGTATCGGACGTTAAGGAACGTAATAATGACATTTTAACGGCCTGATGTGTTATTCCTTACTGTTAAGAAAGTTTATAAAACGTTCAGTTGTATATATTTCAAACAAATCGAAGATTTATCACTTTTAAGAAATAGTGATACCAATAGCTTGGCCATTCATTAATGACGCCGAGTACACATGTATGGCTGTTGCGGCATGAAATTCTAGCCCTGTAACTGTATGGTAAAATTTCTATCTATCTATCTAACCATCTATCCATTTATCTGCCTCTCTATATCTACCTATGTGTGTCATATCGGATGTTATCTGTATGTATGTATGTATGTATATGTGGGTGTGTATGTATGTATGTATGTATGTATGTATGTATGTATGTATGTATGTATGTATGTATGTATGTATGTATGTATGTATGTATGTATGTATGCATGCATGCATGCGTATGTATGCGTGTGTGCGTGCATGCATGCATGCATGCATATGTATGTATGTATGTATGTATGTATGTATGTATGTATGTATGTATGTATGTATGCTTATGGCTTATTACGTAACCTGCAGAAGCAGCATCATAAGTGCAAATGATAATATTAGTGTATTTGTGCATCGCTGAAATTGGATAAAAAAACTGTGGATTGGGATAAAGCACGAAAGTTCTAAATTTTGTAAGTTACGAAAATAATAAACTTTCAACCGTAATTCACCAAGGTCCTTGTTCATTTGATCTGCCATGAAGTTTAATGAGGAATATCCAAATATATCTACATTACCAAAAGCATATTGATTCCAACTGCGAGTAACATGGCCTAGAAATGATTATATTTACCACCATTTCAGTAAATGTTTGCTTTACAAATATAAAGTACTCCCTTAATTACATGTCCTAATTGATATGTACCAGGCAACCTCATTAAATATAATGAATACTAATACAGTAATTGAATCCAAATATTTGGTTCTAGCAAAATATTTCCAAGGTATAGAAATATATTTAACTTTGTTTTATAATATCAGACTCAGAGTTTGTCTTTAATAAAAAAAATGGTCAATAACTAAAAGCGGATATAATTTCTAAAACAATCGATGAAAGAAACACACATGTTGTATGAGTCTTCTTTGAGGTACGCCTCGTGCATATTGTCAGCAAACCAACCCAGGATCCAGGAAACTACTAATGGTATAGTGGCGGTGGGGTAGCCTAGTGGTAAAAGCGTCCGCTCGTCACGCTGAAGACACGGGTTCGATTCCCCACATGGGTACAATGTGTGACGCCCATTTCTGGTGTTTCCCTGTGTGATATTGTTGAAATATTGCTAAAAGAGGTGTAAAACCATACTCACTCACTAATGGTAGAATTCATCTACCCGCATGCTGACAGCTCACTGGCAAGGAGGGACGACATAAGTTTGGGAAAGTGTAGACTGTGCTGGTATTGCGCTCGCAGGGCACGTCTTTTTTATGTGCAAATTTAACTGTAATCATTAATCCAGTTTCCAAAGGAGTACACTACGAAAGTGTGAGCCAACACAATACTGCAATAACCTGAAAATCATAACTATATGTCAAATGGAATTGTATGCTTATGTATATCGGTATACATTCCATACGACAAATAACTTGCCATAATGACAAAAAGCGATTTTCCTCTATGGCGGCAAAAGACGACACGCTCACAAACAAAATGGGCAACGATGTGTTTATATGTTTCGTATACTGTTATCAGGGAACGAAACTATTCGAAGCAAAATATACTACAATATCGGATATGTATTTGTTCATTATTATGGGGTTTGTTTTTAAAAAGACCAACGGATGACTGGTAAGGTTCTTGTTCAGGTCGTTCACTCGAAAGTGTTATTTTATTTCTTCACAGTTTCAATAAAAACGTTAAACACAAACAATCTGTCGTGAAGTAAGTTCATGACTACAGTAATCACAATATCACGTGCAACACTCACCACTGCCTTTTCCAAACTAGCTAAATATTTGCAATGTCACTTCATCAGATAGGATATTGAATATTCCTCCTATCTGGGTAACTTGATGTCGATGATATAATCATTTCCATGTGACCTCCGTTCTCACTCCGTATGTAATGTTCATAATGGAAGGTGTAATTCAAATCTTCCTTTCAGCAATCGTTGATCGTACCTACGTCAAACATAACTCTTAGCAACGGCATAATCATTGTAGCAACTAAAGAAACAAAGTCCGTACTGTATTCCGGTCCTTTGTACAGGTTCCACGTTGTTGGTAGATCTTGTGACAGTCGCGTTTCTCGAATTCTATTTAGTGCCGGCCACGTGGCATCAACGTGGGATCTGCTAGTTTCCAAAACCTTTCTAGAATTTCATTTGTGGGTGTGCCGCTTGAACTACAATAACCATAGCTTCGCGTTTATAAATAAGTCAAAATGTTTCAAATATTATACGTTTATATTGTTCTATTATTTGGAATCATGCCGGACTGTCATTCACACATGATATTCACCCGTATTGAATCTTGTTACGACCCGACTGAAACCAACAAAGCATACCACACCATCACCGGTATCAGTGTTCTACTATGTGGAATCATGTGCGCTTGGGATAAGGGATGTAAGTCCATTAGCATCACGGGTGACGGGAACACTGTCACATGTTATCACAATAGCGAGAGGAGACTGTTGAGTACAGGATGCGACCACCAATACAGACATTTCAATGTGAGTACAACAGTGAACAATTCCAATACTGTTGACAAAATGTATTGAAGTTTTGTACAATGAACAGAAAAAAGGTATCTGTATTTCACATAAGGCGAAAAATATATGTATTTCGAAAAATATAGCGGTTATGCTGCAAACATGAATGGCCTTTAACATCGATGAAAGGCATTTTATTGATCATCGAAATAAAATATGTTTGTTTGGAGGCTTCATGACATGTTTCGGGCCGCTCGTCCACGTGACTCAGTAAGACCCAGACTCGGTTGGTGCATTAACGTAATCGATGCCAAACAGCTCAGGCTATTTCTGGATTGAGAACAACCACATTTTGCTTCCACGTCACCGCCATGCACGACCAGCTTGGTGCAGATAGCAGTGAAGGTTCTGCAGATAAGACGGGGACAGTATGGTGTTCACAATATGGCGTATTGTACCGAGACAACATCTTTCGCCATCATGTTCTATTCTTTATACAAATGCAGAGACTTATGGTCACGTTGTAGCCTGTAAGGTCCGCCCACACGTTAAACATGATATAACACTGACTGACTGAGTTTGGTTTTACGCCGCTTTTAGCAATATTCCAGCAACATCACGGCGGGGGGACACCAGAAATGGGCTTCACACATTGTACCCATGTGGGGATTCGAACCCGGGTCTTCGGCGTGACGAGCCAACGATTTAACCCTTAGGCTACCCCACCGCCCTACATGATATAACAGACTTCTTGAAGCAGCATAACATATATTGTTATGACTTCTCCGGACCTCCACTTGCGTAGATCGGTGCTTATGCTGTTGATCACTGGATTGTCTGGTCCAGACCCGATTATTTACAGACCGCCGCCATATAGCTGGAATATTGCTGAGTACGGGTTTACACAACAAACAAACAAAAACATAATCTCCGGACGTATCCACGTCTGGAATGAGATTGACGGACACCTACGACAGGATCAAAATCGGTAAACTCTGATTAACATTTGAAAGAAGATTCCCAACACCGTTTGATCAGAGGTCTTCACTGCCGCACCAATGCCAATCGACATTAAACTTGATTTGTTACAACCCTCATTCTTTACGGACTTTTTCCACGCCTGGTTTTCCAGGTCTGGAATGTGTTATCATAAAACATTCACCTTACGAAAGACCAAATGTATTATTTTCAAAAACACAACAATCACACCATTTTCCAAGAATCCACTTGTACATATTTGACTTTGTGAGTAAAATAGCCAGCAGACAACAATTTCAATATTCCTTGCTTAAACAATAGGCTAACACATCACTGCTGCATTGATACGACAAACATCTCTCAATGTCTCTACTTTGGAAAGACCTTTTTACACAAGTTCATGTCCACAAGATTTACCATTTTTGAAAGATATTGATCTGTATGGCTTTAGCTGATACGGCGTAATGCTATATGCATTCGTTCATTTATTCATTAACTCTTGTATTGTCTTGCATAGTTAAGATATTTTAGATTTTCATACTAGTTTTAAAATTACATCTGTGATGTTCTAGTTATTATTACTGTCCTTCGCAGACAGGTTGTAATAAATTATCATGATTTATTATGCAAATGTGACTTGTTTTTAGTCACGATATGGCTGAAGTATTGCCGATGTGACTTAAAATTTTAACTCATTTTTCCTTCATCCGTTCATTCATTCATTCATTCTAACACTGAAATCCTGGTTCCACTGTCTGAAAATATTTTCAAGGGGTACCATTCAAGTTGTCATTACCGCGGGGTCTTACTGAATGACAGCTATGGCTGCAGATGCTATGATGGTTACATTGGCGACTGGTGTGAGCGACTCATGCAAGGTATGGCATCACATGGTGGTCATGTTTAATGCGATAATATCTTAAAGTCTCCCTGAGAGTTAGTGCCTGATGAACTAATGGGCTAACTTTGGCTTTGTTGTAAGCGATGGGGTGGACATTCTTTTTATATTTTTAAGTGTGAATGTCCTGTCATTTTGCATACATGGTATATACTTATGATAACCTAAATCACCGTTGGCTCGTCCGGTGTAATTTAAGACAGTAAGTACATAATAGCAAAAAGTTAAAAGAAACGTTTTTGCTTGACAATTGTACTTTACTTCATACAGATTGCACTGAGGGTGCCTCAACGGATCATTACAGAGACTTTAGTGAGTCGGATGTGTTTTACATCCATCCCCGCAATGCTCCTCAGGTCTTTAAGGTTGTCTGCAAAATGCCCCAGGGACGTACAATCCTGCTAAATCGAAACTTTGAAAGTGCCTACGTCAACTTTTCCCGTCCATGGGAAGAATACAAAAATGGATTTGGAGACTTCAATATAGACGGTATGTGAAGTTATTATAATTGAAATAAATAAAATGGGACAGGGTTCCCTATAGAAATATGAAAGTGTACTAACCCGTGAAGCGGCTGACCTCGCTGACTTGGTTGCCACATGTCATCGTAGATCGATGATTGTCGGGTACAGACTCGATTATTTACAGACCACAACCATATAGTTTGAATATTGCTGAATGCGACCTTTAACAACAAAAACTAAGTGCAGCAAATGTGCTTTTATCATCGTAAGATTCGTAAATGTTGAAATTTACAACACATGAGTGCACACACGTGCTATTGTATTGGATGTCCACAGGCTGCAGTTAAAGTGCTGCATTGTTCATGTTTCAGGCAACTTTTGGACGGGTCTGGAGATGCTGCATTACGTGACTAGCAACCGCAAGTACACCATGAAGACATGGGCGCTGTTTGAAGAAGATGGGAAGACCATTAGGAGAGGACATAGATACAACGGTTTTAAGGTACTCGTCGTATCGTTCCATACACATATTTGAAACGGCAGCCATTCCTTCTAGTTTTCACAACAGGTATGATTACTGCAAATTTGCTAAAAACTAACACGAATTTGACATGTTTGTATACCCTTTATAACGCCCCCAATATTCGGGATATGTGATGAGGGTTTTGTCGTTGTCGAAACAAACAGGTGATTGACATTATGAGCGTCCGAAGTCTTCGGTTAACGGTGCCACGCAATCAACCAAGCCTCTTGAGCGTTTGCTCCTTTCAGTTGTTTCTTTTAACTGGAATACTTCTCGCGTTCGCGGAGTTGCGTTCCTTGGGCACGTTAGGATCCTATGATTCCTGTTAACCCTGATTATTTTACTACGTATGTATGTACCGTATCCGTACTCGTGGTATTCCCCAAGGGATAAACGTTTCAGTCGGTTCGGTCTTTCTTTTCGCGTGTCATAACTGGACTACTGTTCATTGAGGCTATAAACCTAATTCATTGAGATTTAATCTGATCCAGTCACAACGGTTGACATACATCTTCCGGTGTTAGTCTTGCAAACGTATACCTGTAGTTAAAGTGCATTATACATATTACTTGACATCACTCACAAAATCAGTTTAAGCTCTCAACATAGGTCCGTAAGCACTGTACTATGAACTCTCTGAAACTACGACCAAATGGTAAATAGATATATTTTAAGTACATGGCCTACTGGCTACTCATTTGTAGGACAATGAAATTTTACATATTGTTAAATCAACTAATCATCTTTGTACCCTTACTATGTAGATTTATAAACGTTTTAGTTTATTGACGTCACAGAGCTTCGTTGTTGAGAAAAATACGTTATGACGTCAGTGATTGAGTGAGTTGGCTTTTACGCCGCTTGATATGACGTCAGCGGTTGAAGCGTTTGCTCGTCACGCCGAAGACCCGGGTTTCAGTCTCCTAGTCGTTGTGTTTCTTTCTATCGAGGGGCGGTGGGGTAGCCTAGTGGTTAAAGCGTTTGCTCGTCACGCCGAAGACACGGGTTCGAATCCCCACATGGGCACAATGTGTGAAGCCCATTTCTGGGGTCCCCCGCCGTGATGTTGCTGGAATATTGCTAAAAGCGGCGTAAAACCAAACTCAGTCAGTCAGTCAGTCTTTCTATCGAGATGACTTTTTTCACAGCAAACTGTTTAGAGCAATATTTAAAAAGTTCACAATTCAAGTAAAAGTGTTGTATTGTCTGAGAGCGATCATTCATATCTAATCCATTGTTGTTGATGCAATTGTTATTTTACAACAGAAGTTAATGCAATATCCACTTCACGTGTTGCAAGTATATTATGTATGGTGCGTATAGGAATGTTGAAACACAAATCAGCCATACCCAGATAATATTGTGGAGATATATTACTTGTGGAGTCTTCTACGGAATGGGGCGGTGGGGTTGCTTAGTGGTTAAAGCGTTGGCTCGTCACACCGGAGACCCGGGTTCGATTCCCCACATGAGTGCAATGTGTGAATATTGTGCAATGTGTGGAATATTGCTAAAAGCGGCGTAAAACTAAACTCACTCACGCTTCGGAAATTCATACCTAGCGCTTATTCGAACAAAAACATAACACGGTCATTAGATTATCGTTGGTAATTATAATTCATATTTCAGTTAGCATGGGTTATCTAGTAACTTGGAAGTGGCTTATTCCCTATGTGAAGAATGTATGTTTACAGGTGGCCTGTGAGTCTGACGGTTACAACTTCACGTTTACATCCTCTGGATTCCCCAAATTCGAAGCTTTGGACTCTCCTGATGGGATGTCAGCGTATCTGGGAGCTAGATTTTCCACTTACGATGTCGACAATAACAACGACATCGGTGACAACTGTGCAAATATCCACCAGTCTGGGTGGTGGTTCACCACATGTGACGGCTACAATCCCACAGGACAGCCACAACCTCCATCAGTTCAGTACAAGACGTCGGACCCCACTCAGCTGTCCTGGCCTCACACACAGAACTACAGTCCATCGTATTTCACTCTATTCGTTATAGGAAAGTAAAGATACTGGTGAAGCTAAAATCGTATGATCAGAACAGTTTCCAGTATCGTGCTTGTCGTTCGGTGCCTAGAGCTCCTTTCACAGGGCACTCGGGTGATCGTAAGTCACTAAGGTAGCCTTGGTAATGTTAAAGAATGAGAGTTAAGGTTTACTATTAGTAACGGTTGCTTCTGAAAGGAGCTCCAGGTCCGCTTTTACGGGGATTGGTTGGTCAGACGCTTTTGTAACGGTCGACTTGACATTTATAATAAATTAATTTACTAGCCACAATTTACTAGGTAGATCCAAAGTGGCTCCCACCGCTGCCACCATAAAACTGTAACGGTCGACGGGGTGGCTGGAGAGGTATGTACTACGACATTGTGGGTATGTGGATCTCTCTTCCAGCCACAGCAACACACAGTTTTAACTAGTAAATAATTTCACAAGTCATAAAAGTTACCAACGATAAATTTATAATATACAATAGCAAACTTCTAACAGTAAAGACAATATGCAATCACGCCGCCCAAAGCGTTACTCTACAAGTAATAAAGTACAGTACAATTATATATAGTTACAACAATTGAAAGATTTTACATGCGCTTCATTGAGTAGAGTGCCTCAGGCAAGCCGGGTGTAAACTTACAGGTTATTCATTGTTTTCTTCCGAGCGACAGCGATGCCACCATCCAACTCTCAATGGTTCGTCTGTCTCCTTTTACCGTTAATTTAATCGAAGAATTTCTCATCTCCGTTATTTCTATTGTGACGTCGTAAATCCTAGATACGAAACCTTCTAAACACCACGTTATAACGTCACAACATGGCGGCGCCCATGTCGAGACGTAGCTTACCTGAGGCAGCACAAATCAACACCAAAGTACCACATCAGGTAGACCGATGGAACGAGGTGAAGAGAAGGCTTGGATCTGTTTTACATACTAATTCCAACGGTATGAGCTCTCGTAATCCTGGCACGGAACAACACTATATGGGCAGTGTAACTGATACCACGGGAATTAGTATACCCAAAATGCGTCGTAAATACTGTAGTAAACATATTTATATAGGGTAATTATTATCTATTACCCTGTACATTACACTTTGATTGGCTGAGTTGGTGCATCCCGACAACACGGATTATTGATCAGCCAGTGATTTGCCAGACCCAGAATATTTACTAATGATTTGCTAAATCATCGGCATTAAACGTAAACGATCATTACAAACCAACAGACATGTGTCTTTTGACCAGTAATTGTCGGATGTGTAAATATTTGTTTGCCGTTGTGATAATTGTTCTCGGGGCCTATGTTAAATTATTGGCTCGTCCACTAGAGCCAGGTTCCTTCCGTTCGATGGACACAACATGGGAAGTCGATTCCTTGTAATTTAAGTGAGATGGAACACAACATCTATGTTGTATTTTCTGCTGCATCTTAAATAAGCACCACTGTCGGAAGAATCCATATTATTTTTTTAACATTTGTGTCCTATTTGTGTCACGCAAGACTAGGGCTGGTAAAATGATCGATAACCGGATATATCGTCGACAGGGATTATCAATGATTATTAAAATAATGTTAACGATGATATCATTT